AGGCACCGAGACAACGATGCGCAGGCAAACATGTGCATTCTGCAAGCACTCCGACAGAAACAAAGTCCCAGAACGACGATCGAACACAGCAAGGATAGAAACAGCAAGTAAGCTTGAAATGCGCTTTGAGATTGGAGCAAAAGATAGAGACACAGCGAGAGCTTGCGGAACACCATTCTCGGTTTTGGTCTTTCTGCAAGACTGATCTCAGCATCTTGGTCAGGTTTACTTATTTTCCGCTCCCGCATTGACGAATGCCTCACACCACATTGTGCTGGTCTGATCGCGTTCGTAGAGTTAGCAGAAGTTCCATCTTCGTGCCCCAGAGTGAAACTCTGCGCGAGTTGGCTTAAGATCCTTGGGGCTGCTCTGCGGCTTTGCTTCCGACTCAGTCAGAGAGCTGCCTGAGCCCTGGCGGGGTTGGAGGTGTCTTCCGGGTGCCCCTGAAAAGGGGGCAGCGGCCCTTGTGGCCCCCAGCGCAGATGGCATGCGCCATACCTGATCTGCCATGTCGGCTAGTCGAACAAAACAAAGCGCACGGGCACGAAGAGTAGATGGACGGCAGGACTGCACGCGCTCGGTGTCATCATGCATGCTGCCATGCATCTCAGTGTGGAAGGAGGCAAGGCTTTGGTTTCGCCCGGCTCGTCTCCAACCTTGCCGCGCCAAGAGTTGCTTCTCGTCTGCACGAAAGCTCGGTTCTGCAGCCAGGAGTCTGTGCAAGAATTGAGAATGGTTCAAGGAATGCTCCGTCCTCCTGGCAGAGTCCATCAGGCTATCATGGCTCGATGGGAGCTTTAACGAGAGTAGCTCCCGAGTTCGACCTCCGCACGCAACAGATCCATGCAAGCTTCATCTAATCTCGGGGAATGCTTGCAGGCTGCAGCCCTCATCAGCAAGGGCGTGAGGTGAGCCCAAGACAAGATGTCGCGCACATTGCACACAGACTTGCAATATCTTGCTTGAGGCGGCATGTTGCAGTGATCTGATTGAGGACTTAATGCAACCTGTCAGACGCGCAAGATCTGCGGGAAGATCTGCAGGCGCGAGCTGTCCAGCACTCCGTCGTTCATAAAGGCTGTGACGTCCAGGCCCTGCTGCGGCGGAAGCGAACAAGGCTCGCGCGATTCTAGTTCTGTCTGTAAGCTGCACTAGCTATCGCTGCATGGAGTGTTCCGGGTCGTATGCTGTTGCACTGCAGGTTTCAGCGACAACGCGACGAGATTCTCCTGTGCGGAATTCATCCCCACAAGACAGAGCAGGTGCTGGGCTTTGTAGCATGTCCATCGACTGCTGCTCGCGCTGCAATCTGCAAGAGGAGGCGCGAAGCCACGACGAGCGTCTCCGCAGCGAAAGAAAGGAGAGTGCGAATCTTACGCATTCTGACATGCAGATCTTTTGCATGTCAGGAGCTGCAAGAGAGGCAAGCCGATCACCGGAGCCACCTCGCGTTCTTTGGCATGCAAGAATGTCGCAGTTCCAGAGCTTTTTATGGAGCAGAGCAGTTTAAATCGAGTGTCTACGATGATACTAGTAGCGGCAAAGCTCTTGGATTCAGAAAGAACGATAAAAAGCGTGGACTCGAGAGTAAGATGATGACAGAAGCCGAGGGCCACTGCAGGGCAATGAGGGCAGTCCGATACATCGCACTTTAGCTCCAAACCTGGAGCCTGCCCATACTCGTTATTCAAAAGTCGTGAATCACTGTTTCTCCTGAAACAGGCGATTCAACATGCATACGCTTTCTTTTGAAACGTATGCCTCGGGAATGATTTGTGGTTTTGCGCGCGGCATGCCATTTTGATGATGGTCTCGAGGCTGCACAGCTTGGGCGGCAGGGGTTTGGGATTCAGGGCCTACGACTTCAAGAGTCTTGCTTCAGGCTTGGTCGGAGCATGCTGCGAGGTGATTCGACCTATGGGACATCTGAATCCGGATTCGGTGTACTGTAGCATCAGAAGCAAAGCTCAAAAGTGGGTCCCGACTTTCAGTTTTGAACACCGTAGTCATTCTCACGATGTTGGTCTGGTTGGTGTGCAGTTTCCATCGTCCAACTCGCCTAGATTGCCTTCATTGACGAAGTGAGGAACAATGGCAGGATTCGTGACATGCTTTTCCCACTGCGAATGAACAAACCATCTCGTCACTTCAAGCATACCGCCCCAACAGCTGCTTCCGTCCCACATCCCTGCTGCACCTGCTCTTGCCCAAGAAGCCACGCGGACACCAGGCCCGGCCTCCAATGGCCGCGCCCATGCAGGCGCCCATCAAAAAGCCAAGAAGCTCCGACGTTGTACTGGGAGGACACTAGATTCCAGGACAGTGTTGCTAGCGACTCGGTCAATATTGATCATTAAGCCGTCGGAGCTGAGAACATGTTGCCCTTGGTGTTCGAAACTGGACAGGTTGCGCCGCCTGAAAAGGCAGGCAGCACAGGCGAGCCCGCTGTGAGCATTCCTCTGCCGGAGCCGTGGAGAAGCTAGCGACAGAAGAGGCTCACCACCTCCACCTGGAGCCACCGAGTCCCAGTCGGCTCCCTCCTTTGCCGTGGGCTTGGGCAGGGGCTCAGAGGCGTCCCCGGACTGAACTGGGATGCAAATTTGCAAGGTCAAATCTTTGGCACGACTGGCGCTAGTGTTGGAGTCCAACGGCCACTCCGGAACGGGGCTTCGCTCCAAGTATTTGCCTGCTCGTTTCTTGTTCCCTGCTATTGGAAGTGTCGGATAGCAGACATCGAGGGCAGCTGCAGCAGCGGCTGCGGTGGCTGCTGCTGTTACTAAACAGCATGATTGCGAGTGGATGAGACTGATGCTCAGTGCGCCGTCTGCATGATACCCAGTCCGATGACAGCTGCGGATCAGGTGACTTTGAGGAATACCTGCAGGAGGCGGCAGCCCATAACGAGTTGAGTTGGCTGGATACCCCACTTAAGCTTCATAAGCCCACTCTGCGAGGGTCTGGAACGGCGACCTCTTCAACAAGAGGCCACAACATAAGCGCCCTGTAGGGCTGATGCAGACAGAGTTGCCTTTCACTGTCGTCCTCTGTGAGCCGAATGCCGTTGTGGAATTCGTAGGGAGAGAGGGCCCCTTTCGGGCCTCGTCAGGCGGCCGCGGCTGGCGACTTGCCTGGTGAGGGGAGCTGGTGGTATCAGCAACCGCAATGCAACGAATCTTTCACTGAAGGTCAGGAAGCAGAAGCACTGCGAGCGAGATGTTCCCGTTTGGAGCATGAGGCGCCACCTTCGCTTGTATGAAGGTCTTTGTGTTTCCGCTAGTCGGCTTCTACTTCTTAGTCCTTCGTCTCATTGCAAGCGTCGTACGTCGTATGTCTGCGGGCCTTTCTTCCAAACGCGAGCTCTCTTGGTGATGTTGTCCCCACGCCCTCGCACCGATAACGAAGTGACAGCCGATCCGATCGTGGTTTGCACGTCTGGTTTTCGGTCACCAGTGAAACGCCCGCTGGGGCATGCTTACATTCTGGATCGTCGGTTGTTTGTTCTTATAGCTACCTCCTTAGTTGATTCATGTGTGTAGGGAACGACACCCTCGTTAATACAGCCCTGGCAGGTGGTGGAGTTGCATGCCCGACTGAATTGGGCTGCAACGAGAGGGAAGCCGAGCAGAGTCACGTGAGAAGTGCCAGCAGTGCATAGCAGTGCCAGGCGTGCACAGTTGGCACGACGATTAGATGCCACAATGCTGGAAGTCGTCGCGGCTCGACAAGCGGCTGAGACGGCCAACACGCAGGCGCTGCTGTGGGTACTCGTAGCTCCTGGGCAAGGTTGCAGCCGCAGAGCAAGTATTAGGAAGCTAGCGTGCAGTGCAGTTCAGTGTATGGGTTAGCTTCGCTCACCTTCCGGGTGAGGCGGCAGCCCTCAGGGCTGAGCTGGCTGCAGTGACCGGACGCATCGAGGACCCAAGCAGATGTCAAGCATGCAGCATAAGCATCAGAGAGCGCAATACGCTCCTGTCGTGTCAACAACCAATGCCAGCCAGAAAGGCTTGGAAAGAGGTGACTGATAAGTGTTTTATGCTCTGTATGCCGCAATATGAGTTTTATTGAGCCGGCACATATCGATCTGTGTCGTCAGCCGTAGTTAGCTTTTCGTGAACACCGCGATGGTGGAATTGCTTCGCAGGGTCGAGGCTTCATAGAGACAGGACAGGTGCAGACCAGGTGTAGCAGCGGTACATAGCGGTGTGCAGCATCTTATAGATAGACGAATCTAGCCGATGGGCAGACTTGCCCGGCGTCTCTGTTGGAGGCGCAACGACCCAACGGATGTCTGGTTGCCGAGTGAGGGTCCGATCTGGAGTCGTATGGGTCAGGGCGGCTTGCTCCGAGGCTCCCCGCTGGATGTGGCCTTTAGCTGATCAGCGAGATGCGGTGAGGCTGAGATGGGTTGAGATGGTCATAAGACACTTCGAGTCCAAATCGAAGGGCATCGACCGCTTCCCAATTGATGCACCCTTACGCCCAGATCAGAATCAGCAGTTCCCAAGATCTGGAAGGCGTGATGGTTGTGACCCGCATTCAGCCAGGATGGCCTGACAATGCTTCGCGGGCTACACCCAGGCGGTGATGAGGTGATTGCTGGATGGTCCGAGGTTTGCTTGCTGCATGCAGGAAGATTTAAATTTAGCCGCACAGCATCGGTTTTATGTGCATCGACCTTCCGACCACGCCGCAGGCATGCTAGAAAAGCAGAATGCATTATCATGTGGCATGCTTTCAGGCAGAGGAGCGCAAGGTAGCGAATTCGGCCCTGAAGGACTTGAACGCGTGGCTCAAACTGGTCGAGTTCCACTCAGTAGAGGATGTTTTCCACACCGGTACCCGCCCACCATGTCCTGTGCGACCAGCTTCAGCACATTTCCGGACAGTGCCACACCTGACTCATCCCAAGCGCTAGCCTAGCTTGGAGGTGGTCGGATTCCAGGATGGCATCGCAATGTCTTGGGCCAGCATAGCATGCATGAACAGTGCATGATGGGCAGATGGGTGAGGCCGGGCACAGCCTCAAAATCGATGAGGGTAAGAGTCAGAGGGCAAGAGTTCTCCAACGTTCGATGCGAGGCAGCTCCATCCTCAGGATTGAGCGTCCAAAAGGCAGCTTCATCAACGGGGTTGAGCGCGCTGCACAGCTTCGTCGGCACCAGCCTATCGACGTGTTCGATGGAACACGCGTCTGTAAACCCCAAGTCATGAAAGCTAGCTTTGCATCTCCTCGGTTGCACACTGAGGCCAAACACATCCGCCCAAGAAAGATGGCTGGCCAGAGGCAGGTTCGGGCGCAAAAGCAGCGACAGAGAAGACAGACTCGAGATTGTCGCAGGTCCTGCACCGATACATTCCACAATAAATGTGCCTCTCGGAGTCCCGAAGGTTCCTGCTTTCGCAGAACCATCACCATTTCTGAGATCTGCAGCCCGCCTGTCTGCATGGAGCAAGCGTCTCCTTGTGAACACGGGGCTCTTTTGGCCATGCCCAGGCCTTGGCAATTGGCGCCGAAAAGAGAAGGTGCCTGCGAGAGGGCTACGTATCTGAAGGCCACTGCCTTTGTTTCTGGGAGAGAAGGGAGGTTTTCTGACTTCAGGTCCCAGCGAGTCTTCTGTCAACATCGAAGATACCGAGGACGAAAACTTGCAGCCGCGGTCCTAGTTCACGCGCTGCGATGCGGAGCGGAAGAGAGGAGATTCAGAAAAGTGCGGCGTGAAGCATTTTGTGGCCTGCGGCCGAGGTCGGCCTTGCCGGGGCTCGAGCGCTTCCGCCAGTGTTCAGATCGATTGGCATGATGCCGTAAGGGCCGCATCATGCCGCGTCCGTCCGTCCGCCAGGCGGTTCTATGAGACCATGGCTGCAAAGGCGTGAGGGGCATGCAGCAGAACCAAGTTATGCTTGTCTTGAGAGGCGCAGATCAAGCCAGGCGCGGGTTCCTCCTCCAGCTGGGCCGGCATCCAAGACGGATGCTCTTCTTGGCCATTCAACATCCATTGATTGCCTAGCTCCGTTTACTGGCAGTTTCAGTGAAAGCTGCCGAACAGCTTCTGGGCTTTTGGATCTTAAGCCTCCGCTACCGGCTTAAACTTTGCATACATCCTAATACACTTTCTTGTGTACAGTCTCAGTGTCACTTTAGAGGGCGATTTAAAGTTGCACTCTCCCAGCAAAGCCCCAAACCCTGCCGTGAACCCCCCAAACCCTTGACCACGAGTCTTCTCAACCGTGGTCAGACAGAAAGACCGGAATGGCTTGCAGCCGTGACCCTCAGAAGGAGTGACCAAGACAAGGAGTTGCCCGCAGCTGTGGACAGTTGAGGACACCCGGAGAGGAGTGGGCCAGACGGAAAGGGGGCTGAAACGAGCGAAAATTCCGAGAACCACACCTGATTTCTCGAACTTCGCACTCGAGAAGGGAACGAGCATGGGCAAACCTTTGTCTGGAAGGCCATGGGATGCATTGTGATGCTCGATCTACTCTTTGCTTATACCCCAGACAAAACACGCGTAATCGTGAATAGTGAGTTCGAAATCTTAATCATCAAACAGTCAAGTGGTAAAGACATGCATAGAAAACACGATAGTAGACAGTACAAGTGGGAAAGATAACGATTATGTGACATGCCCAAATCGTAAGCAGCCAAGAACAGGTATAAGCATTATGTCATGACACGCCCAGAGTAAAGAGTAGAACAATGCATGGTCAGGTAGTGCGTAGCGAGAAAGTACGTAGCAAACCGAAAAGACAAGTGGAGATGGTCAAATACTAAGGTTGACCTCCGCATTCAACTTATTACTTGATATTCATCCGCCTGGAATCCGTGTAATTCAGGTCAAGGTAAGGGTGTGGTCTCAGGAGACAAAAAGGCAGTGACCTCCTAGCACGATCGTGATGAAGAAGTGTTCGTTGACTTCAATGCCTGAATACAAGCAGTACAGACAAGCAGGATATCATACATGCAAGTAGTAAAGTAACAATGGGGTGAGTCATTTGTGTCAAAAAGCTGTGCACGGCGAAGAGATAGACAGCAAGCAGAAACTGGCGAACTACCGAAACATAAAGTCTGAACCAATGGTACCCCCAGTATCAAACAAAAAATCGGAACCTTCCATGATCACCATCGTGGCAGAGCAGAAGATGAGCTAAACTGCATGCCGACATGCACCCTGGCTGTTGATCCTGATCTTGATCTAGATAGTAGAACACATAATGGCAAACCCGCAAACAGTAGAACTGAGATGGAAAGCGTACAAAACATGACAGGATAGTAGGCTCGTAATCAAGAAGTGTGAATATTGAATATGCAGCAGTAACTCGTGAAGCACTAAGTCTTAAGTAGAACATCGTGGCAGTCGGGAACAGTGGGCTATAACGAGTAGCGTAGCACATGAGTAAAGTGTAAGGAGACGAAAGTAGTAATACATTAGAGGTGGAGGCCTGGCGCGAGGCTCCAGGCTCTGAACTTCGGAAAGACAAGTCGCAGGTCCAACGCAGCACCCTTCACAAGAGATAGGTTGTCTCTTTGGGCATCAGTTGCCTTACTTCGGGGATCTCCCGAGAGCCGGCCCTGGGCCCGTGGCTCTGCTGCGCTGTGTCTGTCCTCAGGTCCTGTCCATGGCTCGGAGCTACCGCCGCTTGTCCAAGGATCTCCGGCTCCACCTGAGCATATCTAGATGGTGCAGTACTGGACTGACATTCCAATATGAGATGCGTTTTTTGAGTTGATTCGACGAGGCATCCGTGAGTATCACAATGAGGGACGTGACTCCATCTCAACTTCTCCACTGCAAGTCACTACTTCTGCACCTCGATTTAGGAAGAGCGAGTAAGAGCGACTCCAGATTCATGCTAGATCATGCTAGGTTGAATAGAGAACAAGCAAGCCCAGGGCGAGCCGCACGGGATTCTGTGGAAAGTGTGGAATTCAGAGAGAGTTCGGTGCACTTGCACGTTCCCTAAAACTTCCTCATTACCAGCTGCAGGAGAGGTAAGCTTTCTCAGACCAGCTTCCTGTTTGATGCCGTATCCTTAAACGTTCCATTAGATGGATTGGGATTGGGATTAAGGATGATAGTTTCAATGGCCCTGGATGTGCATTGACACCTTGGGTACAGACCCGCGCCTGCGCGACGTCGCTGCCTGCACAGGAGAAGCGGAGGCGTGGTCGCTTGAAGGAGATGCTTAAATGGGAAGAGACGGAGTTGTCAAGGCCGCACTGACATCTCTGCGACCCCTGAGGAGCTTCTGCAGCCTGCGGTCAACGCAGGTGTCCTGCGTAGCGCCTCCGGTGGAAGCCTGGTGAACAGCTCAGACCCAGGAGATCCGCCAAGTCCCATGATGTCCCATGCCGTCGCCGGTGTACTTCAGGTCTGCCCAGGTGAGCACTTGGGCCGGGAGCCTTCCTCTATCCTCCGCAGGGTGCCCCAAGAGTGTTCGTAGAGTCGCAGGCTGGTCTTCGAACACCGACGACAGCGGCTACGAGGCGCCGACTTTCGGTTGGGGGTGAAAGCCCCGAGTGAACAGAGGTAACAGAGGGCCTTGAAGGCGGCTCTCTCCGCCGGGCTCAGATGCAGAGCCCACAGTCACGCGGAGACCCCCGCAGACTCCTTCCTCAACAGGACCCCAGTGCTCAGTGCTCGTCGCGACCCGTCGTCTTTTCTTCATGATTATCTTTTTCGCTCCGCCCTTCGCGAAGTGAACAGAGTAGAAGGACACTCAAGACGTCGTTCGCTTCGCCCAAACGATGCGACGCACTTTTCTTGTTCAGAACTTCATCGACAACGGGAAAGACGGATAAGGCAAAATTTAGGCACAATGCATGGTGAAGTCTCAACCGCGGAGGCTGGCTACGAAACAGATGCCGACGAGTCAGAGCTGAGTGAATGGGAGGGCAGTGTTCGGCAAGGGTGCATGCCTCGGACTCCCCTCAGACTCAATGGGGATTTCGTGCAATCTTATCATACCAAGTCCAGAAGCACGATCTAAGGCACAAGCGCAAGCTGGAAGCACTGGTGTCGAAGACTTACTTGCGCACTGCAAGCTGTGCCACCTGCACCCATGCGAGCCCGAGTGAGTGCCACGGAGCATGTTCCAGGAACTTGACGAAGCAGATGACTTTTGCTACAGAGCTACCCGGGGGGCAGGCTCATGAGGACTCGTTGTTGCCGCATGTGACTGCTCAGCTTTCACTGGTGAAGCTTTGGAGCTGTTGCTTTGAGCTGGTTGGGCCAGAGGACGAGCACTCAACCAGTGCCACAGCGCAAAAAATCGTAGCAGCTTCCGGAGAGGGTTGTGCAGCAAAGGGCTTTGGGGCATGGGGATGCTGGAAAAGGTATCGATTGCACTATGTCGACTTTTTGAGCGCACAGGCCCTGCATAGCACTCAAAGCAGCACGGACGGAAGGGCTGTCCGAGTTTGCCTCCATAAGTCAAGAGCTCCGAACTGAAAAGCTCTACAGGAACCTCCCACCGGTGCACTTGATCTTGGAAGGCTTTGTTGAAGGTTTGCTTCGTTAGAGAATTCTGTACCGAACCATCTCACAGGCTGTGTCATGTTTTGCGGATCTTTAAATGCTGGTCTACAATGAAATGCTATCAGGAGCCATTGCCATTCGGTGAGTCCGCACGGTGCGGAGCCCACGAGAAACTCTGCCCTCTTGCCTCCGCTTGGCACCGGCGCTGCTAAAGGCAACCGCCACCCAAGACTTTGCGAGCATTGGGTACCAGACCAGTGGGCCTGCGGCTGTCGCTCCCAAACGGGTCTGGTTCAGCTGCGGTCTGAGCAGACTTGACCTGGCTTAGCTCTGCATTGCACCTGAGTAGACAACGCATTCCTGACATGAGTGTGGTCAGCATCGGAGGTCTGCTGTTGCAACTCTAGTACCTTGCCTTGCCGCTATCACCGCTTAGTAGCCACACAGGTCATCTACTACTACGACTACTACTACTACTACTACTACTACTACTACTACGACTACGACTACTACTACTACTACTACTACTACGACTACGACTACTGCTACTACTAGTACTACTACTATTATCACTGGGTCCATCACCCTCGTTTACCACTTTGCAGTGGAGGAGTAAAGGGGTGGGGAGGGGATGATACCGTCATGATCGCAGGTATAACGCTCAGACTCCTTGCTTATTTAGGTCCACTTGTGCCGCCACTCCTGCTGCCGCTGCTACAACTCTTGCAGCAGCAGTAGTCGTCGTGTAATGGCAGCACCCGTGGCAGAAGTGGACATTGAGCAGCTGAAGCAGCAGTAGGGCCTCGTAGCGGCAAGAGTTGTAGCAGCGGCAGCAGGAGTGGCGGCACAAG